GGAGTAAGCCATCACTAGGGTTTTTCTTGTTCCCAGGTGCACAGGTAGAATTACAACCTTCTCAAAGGTGCCCAGGGGCTACCCTTTGAGACCTGCAAATCTGCTACTGCTTCGGTTTGGATAAATATCCCATAAAGGTCCATATATTTGACGTTTGGTCTTCAGGGTGGAGTCTCAGGGAGGGGGTGGACCTTTGGGAAGTGTGGCCTCGTGGGAAGGCCCTTAAGTCATTGCTCTTGACAGAGATCATGATAACATCCCTTCCTCACTTCTGTCTCTCCAGCTTGTTCTGTCCCATGCTCCTCAACATCGCTACCTGGGATGGCCATCCAGGCTCAAAGCCACTGGTCGGTCTGATGTTAGACAGGAACCTCCCACCTGTGAGCCAAGATGAGTCTTTTCTCTTCCTAAGTCAGTTGCCCCAGGGGTTTTGTTTCAGGGGTGGAAAGCCACCTGGCAGCTTGTGACAGAGATCTGCAGATGGGATGATGGGCACAATGGAATCACACAGTGGAATTCTAAGCCAGCCAGAGGGTTGGAAATGCAGAAGATGGATGGGGAAGGGGACAACAGTCAGGATGTTGTGGTCCTGAGCTAGAGAATGTAGGCAGCATCTAGAAACTGGAAAGTGGGGGAAACAGGCTCTCTTATAGAGTCAGGAGCAGATGGATCTTGATTTTAGCCCATGAGACCATGTGAGACTCTGACCTTCAGAGTGGAAGATAGTAGATCCATGTTGCTTTATGCACACAAGCATGAGCCTCTCTTTTCTTTATGCACCCAAGCACGAGCCTTTGACTTTGGGATGCTTCTTAAAATGATACACTGTATCAAGTTTGCTTTAAATACTTTGCAAAGTGGGAGATGAGAAAGAAGAAACAGGGCTGGTCATGCTTTGATAGTTGTTAAAACTGGGAATGAAGCCATGTTGGAGGACTAAATATTTTTTTTTCTTTTTCTGGTTTGAAATTTTCCACAATGATATAGTCTATAAAGCAAAAAAAAAGGGGGGGGAGGGGAGAGGAAGAAAGAATGGACCCTAAAGTGGGGTCGTTCTCCAGAGTGTGACTCCAGATACATTTGACCAAGCTACAAGTCCCCAAAGCAGGCTCAGCCCTTAGGGAGAGGAGCCGAGATACAACATGAGCACTCAGGACAGAGGGCCAAGCCACTGGTCCCCTGCATGAAGTGAGGGTCCTGGCTGGGGTGAGAGACCTGGCAGAGAGACCTGGATGGTGTTGGCACACTCCCTAGCATCTTGACAGAAACATTTTCTGAGGAGGGACAGAGACTCTGTCCCATTGCCCTTGGAGAACTCTGTAGTTCCAACAGCTGGGAAAGACCCCAAGCCAGCTGCCTGCTGTGCCAGTAGCAGGTACAGAGGACAGCTCACCGTAAAAGGCAGGCATGTAAGAGAGACACTTCCCTTGCCTCTGATGTTATCCCATGGAGAAAGCTGATCAGCTGAAGAATCTAAGTCATGCTTCCTCCTGGTCCTCAGAGGGAGGGCCTGGAGCTCCTCAGAGCTCCTCCCCAGAGCCCCCACCCCCTCCGTGATTCTCTCTGTTCCCTACCCAGCACAGTCCAGAGTGTCGCTTGCTCCTACTTCTCCCACTGTATACATACAGCCATCGACTTGGCTGCTCTTGACCTTGGGTTTCCAAGAATTGCATGTGAATCTCCACTCCTATTCTTAGGACTAGTGAGTGAAGAAAGCCCAATTAGGGGTATCGCAGTGCATTGCACCCCACCATGAACGAGCCTGCCTCTTTCTTCCCTCTGCATGCTGACTCTCCCCTGGACTCCCTCCTCCTCAGCCATTTTCCTTCCCTCTGTATGCTGCTCCTCCCCAGGCCCCTGTAACCTCTTTGACTCCACCTGTCCTGAAGCTCCAGCAAGAGCTGCCTCCTTCAAGGAGCCCTCCTTGATCACTAGCCCCCAGAGGCCCCACATCTCCAATCTTCTCTCCTCCATTGTTCCTCCTCTGCTTACACATCCTGGGCAACCCTGCATCACACAGGACATTTGAAACCAGCTTTGCACAACCCAGCGAGCAGAGGCAGCCATCAGCAGATGGACAATCACAGTGGTACCCACAGCTTCCAGATAGCATTTTGCACATCCATTTATCCAGTGGATCTTAAGGCCCCAGAGTGAGGCAGAGGCCAGCAGCCCCTCTTCCCTTCCTTCGCTCTCGTTTCCTCTGGCTCAAGCATAGAGTGTGAGGAACTGTCCACTGTGCCATACCCTTCATACCTCTTTGTCCTTTGGGTCCCACCATTCTGAGAGGTAAGTAGTCACTGTGCCATTTTACAGGTGTGAGACTGAGGTATAAAGAGGCTAAGTGACTTACCCATGATCACTCAGTAAGACAGTGACATTGGGCTATGTCAAAACAGGTAGTCTGCCCTAAAGCCCATGCATGCAACATGACCCAGCTTCTGCGAGACAGCAGCCATGATCACCCATAGGTTCATAGGTTTACATTCTTGCTTCCTTCGTTGGTAGAACTGTTTGGGAAGGATTAGGAGGTGTTGTCTTGTTGGAAGATGTACAGGTGTGGTGTGCAGGAGGCAGGCTTTCCGGTTTCAGAATCTTCCTGCATCCTCAGTACACTCACTCTGGGTTATGGACGTGAGTTTTCAGATGCTTCCCCAGGACTGGTCCCATGGCAAGGGACTCTACCCATAATAAACCCTTCCTTCCATAAGTTACCTTTGCCGTGGTTTTATCACAGCAATAGAAATCCTAATTCAGTGGTTCTCAACCTTCCTAATCCTTTAACAGTTCTCGTGTTGTGGTGATCCGCCCACCACAAAATTAAATTTTCTTTGCTACTTCATAACTGTAATTTTGCCATTGTTATGAATTTTGATGTAAATATCTGTGCTTTCTGATGGTCTTAGGCAACCCCTGTGAAATGGTCATTCGACACCTAGGTTGAGAACCACCTCCCCACAGGGAGCCTCCTGGGAGACCCAGAAGGGCAGGATTTTAGGGCACTAGAAAAAGCCACAGGCAGAGACAGAGTAAACCAACTAACATGCTGTGTGCTCAACAAGTCACAAAGGTCAAGAGAGCCCGAGATGGTCAAAGTGGTCAGGGGAAGGAGTGGCCAGCTCTGTGTCCTGCCTGATGAGTAGCAGGACCTGGAGCAGGACAGTGTGCAGAGGAACATGCCTCTGTCCAGAACATAGGAGTCTCTCTGAGCACCACAACAGACCATGGCTCACTGGTCCTATTGTGTGTGGAGCACTGTGCTGGGCTTTGGCATAAATGACCTCAGGAGACTCATCCCAGTGCACAAAGGGGAAGTGGCTGGGGAGGGTGAAAATTACACCTGGAATGTGAGGGGGCAAGGGAAGGACTTTGGGCTTGTTGAGAATGGGCGTGGCTGAGGAACAGTCAGTTCCCCATTCAAGCCTCTAGCCAATCCTCCACCCCAGTGAGTCAGGATGACAAAGAAGCTGTGCACTAGGGTGGCCCTGGCTCAGTGTCTTAGATTAGATGACTTGGGCCAAGGCAGGACCTATCCCCAGACTGACCACCCAACTGACTTCTTACACTTTTGTGTTTGGCAGGACTAGGACAGGCCACCTTGGTTACCCAATCTAGCTGAGCTCTGCTAGGGGAGAGGACACAGAGCCAGAATCTAGATAACAACCCACAGCTTGAGCAGCCCAAAGCCTGACTAAGGGCAGATGGAGACCAGGGCTGTGATGGGAATACAGCTGTGGTACTCAACCTGGATGATTCTCCAAACCCCAGGGCCTGACAACATCTGGAGGCATCTTGGTGGCACTTTAGGGATCAGGAGCACTACTGAAAATCCTCCAAGAGACAGGGCAGCTTGCCAGCATACATTTCAATAGCGCTGAGGGAGAGAATCCCTGGTGTACAACAAGAGAGTGAGAGGGGGTGACTGAAAGCCAGCCTTTCTCCCAGAGGACACTTTCCCCCACCCTGAGGGACTGATGCCCTTTAGTCATCTAGCCAAATGCACTGAAGACTGAGGCAGGCATGCTTCTGTAGCTAGAAGAGAGCATACCACACCTCATTCCACAGGCTCCGAGGCTCTGATCTGTGCTAAAAACAATGTAAAAAGAAATCTGCAGTCTTTAGTAGGTCAAAAAGTCAGCCACTGTGAATATGCTATCTCTCTGTAGCACACAGGTGGCAGGTGAGATGTGAAAAAGGTCTTCGCTGCTACTGTTGCCAATGGCAGCAAGGATCAGAAGCTACAGAACACGCCCCCCCCCCGCCCCCATCCCAACCCAACCCTGACCAGGCAAACAGGAGCTCAGCTGGGTAAGTAGTGGAAGCCTGCATGCAAAACAGCGGGAATTCATGCTATGCACAGGTATGGAAAGGGCCCCAGGATATATTAAGTGAAAAAAGCCAAGTGCAAAATCAAAGAGAGTGTTGTGCTCTCTTTCGGTGGATGAAGAGGAAAATGCAATAGTCTGAAGAACAATGACAGTCCACACCTGCATGAGTCTCTGAGCACGGTGTTTGGGTGCGTGGATTCACCCGGAGCGTTTTTTTTGTACAATGAACCTGTAGTACCACCAACTTTGCTTTGTTTCTTGGGAGTGGGCACTTGCTCCGCTCTTCATCCCAGAGTTAAACAGAACAAACAGCCTTTCCAAACTGGCCAGATCACTGGTGTGGAGCTTTAGACAAACGCCCGCAAATGTCCTCTTTCTTAAGTAGTAAGCCCGACGGAGACATGTTCTCAACACTCAAGAAGCCTGCGGGTGAGAATTCCAGGCTATCGAAGGACTCCCAGGAGGGTACACAGAAGTTAGGGCCAATAGCAGCCCCACCTCTTTCACATCTCCTTTTTCTGGGCTGGGAAAGTGAAAAGAACAAATTCAAGGTCTGAACTGAAGGTGGCCAGCAGCAGGGACAAACCTAGCCGCGCACCTTCCTCGCCCCCACCACCTCCTCAGTCCCCGCCCCTGTCCCCGCCCCGCCCTCGCACACTGGGAGGAGGGAAGGCTACAATGGATTCTCCTGCCGGCTTTGTGCACACTCGGAATCCAGCTGTCGCCGCCCCCGCGGAGCCCTGTGACCCCCGAAGACACCCATTTCCGGGCCGCCCGTCACTCGGAGCGCATTGGCAGCCAGCGTCCAGGCCGACCCCACAGTCGCTCCTGCCTTCTGGGTGTCCGACCACCCCCATTCTGTCCCCAAAATGCCTGTGGACTTCAACGGGTACTGGAAGATGCTGAGCAACGAGAATTTCGAGGAGTACCTGCGCGCGCTCGGTAAGCGCGGCTCGAGGTGCGCTGGCCCAGGCTCCCTGCAGACCCCGCTACCCGAGTCCAGAGTTCGGCCGCTGGCTACCAACTAAAGGGCCTGAACTGTTAGGGTTAATTGGTGGAGTCCACTAGCTGTCCGTGGTGGCAGATAATTTAATTAGTAGAGCTGGTTTAGCTATGCTAGTTCTGCTTTTAAAGGGTTAGCAAGACAAACAAAAACTTTATTTTCAAAAGAAAAAAAAAAAGGAGAAGAAAGGCATACATGGCCCTCAAAGGCTGCGCAAAAGTGCATGAGGAATCTCAACCTTGTTCCTCCGCGCGACCTCTCCCCGAAGACCTCTAACAAGGAACCCTTCTGAGTTTTTTTGTTTTGTTTTGATTTGGTTTGCTTTGCTTTTCTGTTTTTAAAAACTCTGTCCCTCTGTCTCTCTCTGCAACCCTTGCAGATGTCAACGTGGCTTTGCGCAAAATCGCCAACTTGCTGAAGCCAGACAAAGAGATCGTGCAGGACGGCGACCACATGATCATTCGCACGCTGAGCACTTTTCGGAACTACATTATGGACTTCCAAGTTGGAAAAGAGTTTGAGGAGGATCTGACGGGCATAGATGACCGCAAGTGCATGGTGAGTCCCTGCGAGCCCTTGGTGTCGCCTGCTCCGGGGTTCTGTTCTAGAGCTTGGCTAGCTCATCTGGAGGGTGCAAAGATCCTCCCAGCCCCAGAGTCCCAGGGAAGGGGAAACCCACTCTGCAAGTGCCGGTAGCTGAACGAAATCCTTTGGGCAGCTGTGACAGCCCCAGTTCCGTGAGTCTCCGCGGTGTCCAGGCTCTCTACCTGATGCTCAGACACATGGGACCTCTCAAAGCTTCACCCTAATTGTGAGGAGATAGGAGCCCATCCATTTTACAGATAAAATTGACTTACTGAATCAGGTAGAGTAGTGGGTAGGGGTCTGGAATTCCAAACAAGGCTGTGAACTCTGGTGGGGAACAGGAAGAAAGGAGGAGAAAACACAGGAGCCCCTCTGCAGTATAATTTCCCAAGTGATCTAGTGTGAATTCTCCGAAGGGAGTAGGGGGTCCTTGACCTTTGCTGGAAGTCCCCTGGCCTGGTGCTCTTGCTGCAAAGCTGGGATTTGGCCCTGGCTCACCCTGACACCCACTGAGCCCTGAACTTCCTTTCAACCTTTCACCCAATTCCTAAATCTATAGAACAGTGCTTAGCACCCAGGGCCAGAGGAGGGGTACAGGAGGCCCCAGCCATTCCTTCCCAAGAGTGGGAAACTAGTGACCCTCAGACCCCAATTAACAATGGCCCAGCAGACTCCGGAAGGTCAGCCTCAGGCCTCCGTCAGCATTTTGGGAGTTCTGGGAGGCCAGTATACTCCCAGAGTCTCTTGCACAGTCTTGGGTTCAGGAGCTGCCTTGGTTTGCAGAAGGGAGGAGCTTGTTACCCTTCTCTAACTAGTCAATGGCATTTATGGCTGTCACTGTACACCCTGCATTCTGTCACCACAGCTCAGTGAAGGGACGATTGGGAACTCCATATTGAGCCAGTGACTTAGGGGAAGAAATTGCAAGAGCAGGGATTTGAGCCTTCTTATGCTGAAGGCCACAGCCCACCCTACACTCTGCCAGGCAGCCCTTTCAGAAACAGCCCAGCCAAGACCTCAAGGACTGTGCCTGGAGATGGTGAAGGAGCCCCAGCAGGACTACTCAGCCTTACCTGCTTTATTCATTGGGAAGCCACCAGACTAGTACCTGAGCCTGCTGTTAGGAATGGTGGGAAGACAGTAGCCAGTGCAGTGTACTTGGGAGAGCCCTTAGGATTAAGAAAACTACTGTTGTAGGACAATGCCACACTCTAAAGCAGTGATTCTCAGCCGGTGGATTTGAGATCCCTTTGGTCACATATCTGATCTCCTGCATGTCAGATGTTTACATTACAATTCATAGCAGCAGCAAAGTTGCAGCTATGAAGTAAAAATGAAATTAATGTTATGGTTGGAGGTTACCACATGAGGAACTGTATTAAAGGGTTGCAGCATTAAGAAGGTTGAGAACCACTGCCCTAAAATCTTCAAGCACCAGATGCTTACAATGAGAAAGGACACCTTCAGACTGGGTCTGCCTTCTCTCCATTGCCCAAGACTGCTTCCGGGTCACTCCACGGCACTCTGCTCCATAATTCAGTTGCCTCCTAGGGGTGCTAGCATAACACGTCAGATATGTCTTTATTTGGGGTCACTACAGTTCTGGATGTGCTGGCTTGTACTTGGTTGATTGTTATTGATCACCTAGTAATACTAGTGAGTATTCACTGGGTGTCTAATGTGTGCCTGGTGATGTCATAGTGTGTATTAATTCACTGACTCTTTACTAGCTTTATACACAGGGCTTTTTCCTGGGTGAACCTCAGGGTGGGAGTTCCCCGCAGGAGAGAGGGAGGGTTCGAATGAGCGCACACGCAAGGAAAGCACAGTCCAGCAGCCAGGGACAGTCTTTGTGTGAGACAGACACCAGAGGTCATAACAGCATGTGTGCACCATGAAGACAAAAGGACAGAGGAGTCCTGGGGCACTCCAGCGGGATCCTCGGGTTCTGGGGGAGGTCCTTCTGTGCTACTTGGAGAGGCTTGGGGGGTAGGGGGAGAATTTGGAGCACAAAGACTAGGCATTAGCCACTTTCCTTAGATCTTCCTGGTAGGTGAACCAGCCAGGGAGCCTAGGGACAGGTGGAGTTGGGTGATGCTGGGCTGATGTTCCTGTTTTCTTCACTGCTGCAAGAATGATTGGCATCACTCTCTGGGAGGTAGGATTGTTATCAAAGTTGGGGGACACAGTCTGTACCCCGCAAATCCAGGTTCAGCTGCCTGTTCTGGATAAGCCAATTTAAAAAGACAAATTGAATGGTAAAGAGCAGAAAAAGGAAATGCCAAGTGGCCACGCTGGGAAAAGGGACCAAGAGTCCAGTGATCCATCTCCCCAAGTCCACCCTGGGGTCCTGACATGAAATTAAGGCTTAAACAGAAGGCCAGAGATATGCGTGTTAAGTATTCCTGTCAAGTGTGTTCCTGCCCTCCACTGACCCCCATTGTCTCTTCTGAGTCTCATACTGAACTTAGATCGTTCATTCATGGGTTCTGTTCATTTTTCTCTTTGGGTTCTGCCAGCATTTCATATCCCTTCCTCCCTATTTACACCCACTGTGTTGATGAGGATTCCTGCCTTCATGGAGTGCAGTGTAGGGGGATAAAGTGTGTGAGTGGGGAGGCTAGGGGAAGGGTTACAAGTCACACTGTCATGCAATCAGGACAAAGACACACCCCTTTTGGATCTGGGAGGTCAGAGACAGTTCTCACCACCCCTAAGTCTGAGCTGAGGCGGGTAGGATAGACAGGAAGTAGCTGTAGCCAGCCAAACAGGAAAGGAATAAGAGCAAGGCCAACGGCAAGAAAAGTGTCTGGAAATACGTGTTATTTTAGACCTGCTTCTTAGGGTTCTGGGCTCAGCCTAGGGAAAGAGATCGCTGGCTTCCTGGGTGCCCAGGGAAGTGGAGGAGGGAGTTGCATCTTTGGGCTGTTGCAGATACATGCATGGTAGAAGTGCAGAGGACTGAGAGGCCCTGAGCTGGGGCTAAGGGAGCTATAGTTAGGGAGTGCTGTGTGGTGAAGCGCTCGCTCAGGAAAGGCCTGGAAAGGAGACTGCCAGTGAGAGACCCTATGCTGGTATGTGGCTGGAGTGCAAAACGTGACAGAGGGACAAGGAGTGACAAGGACCTGAGAGGAGACCTAAATACGGCCTGACAAGCCAGCAGGGTGTCCTCACTGAGCAAGGTGGGGCCAGGCTAACATTCCTCTGCAGAGGGTCAGAAGGCTGCTGGTGCAACATCTCTGTTTCTTCCTCTTCCATGTGAGTCTTATCTGTATGCAGAGCGGCAGCCAGAAGATGGAATCCAGCCTGCAGATGCGTTTTGTTTGGCCTGCACAGTGTTTGATCCAGTTGCCAATGAGGGCCAAAGATTCTAAGATTTCATAGGGAGATAAAAACAATCCCATGCCTGACTGTTCTTCTCAAGACATCAAGAGCTGAAAACGCCGACCTTGGACTGTTTCTCCACGGTGTAGGTCTCTCACTAGTGTCCCTCTATGTGAGCAGCTCGCCACCATCCTCACCCGCCTTGGCACCCGAGGATCAAGTAGCATTTGTCTTGTTTACTCCGTAGCTCCTGCTTTGGGGTAAGGCAAAAAGCACAAGCGAGGTGCCAAGACCCTAGACTAGAGTGAGTGGCTCTAGTCTACCTCACCGGCCATCCTGGACGGGGTCTAGATACATACATGAGTTGTCTGTGTGGCCCTGGAGCTCTTAGCCCACCATTTCCAGTCTGGTCAGTAGAGATCCTTCAGGGCCACAGTGCAAGCAGAGGTCTGGGTTTCGGTAGATGTATAGGAAGCCTGGTTTGAACCCAACAGACATAAGGAATTCTCTTCCCTTTGTCCATACCGTGAGGTATCAGACAAGCCACCGACCATGAGTATCAGATACAGGGATTTCTCAGGCTGGGCCTCTGAAAGGTAGATGTTCTGCAGCTTCAGATAGTCTCTCACGCCTGGTCCAGACAATCCCTATGATCACTCAGTCCTTTGTGAGTGATTCTATTGGATGAGCCTGAGCCTCAGCTAGGAACCAGCAGTGAGCCTGACCTGTATGCTGGTGGCAGAAGGGCCATTTGTCATCCCACAGTGGACCCCAGGTCAGGGTTTCCCTGCAAGAGGCTGCTTTGTTCGCTTGGGTCTGGCGCTGCCTCCCTTGGCTTTGGCCTCTCCTTCCTATCTAGCTTTGAACTCAGGATGACCCCTCCACAAGGCCTGCCTTCCACTCCCAGCACTTGGCCCGCTGCCGCTTTCTTTGTTTTTATTATAAAAGGGAAGGGGAAAGAACCAACTAGCGGCAGAAGAGAACAAAAAGAAAAGCAAAGGGCCCCTTCCTCCACTCAGCCTGTATCCTACCCTGCAAAGCTTTTAACTGCTACAGTTTCCAGTGGGTCTATGGTGAAACCCTTGTCACCTGCCTGCCTATCTGGTCAACTGGCCAAAATAGCTACCTGAGGCTGAAAGAGAAGGAAGAGAAGAAAGAGAAGGAAAGGGGAGGGGAGGGGAAGGAAGAGAAGGGAAAGAGAATGGGGGAGAAGAGAGATGGGAAAATTCCCTTTATCTGCATATATATTTATTTTTTTTTACTCCATGACATTTTTTAGGCATCTCTCCTTGTCTGAACTTTCAAATTTTTTTAATCTTAAAAAAAAGTTTGTGTTTCCTTCCCTCCCCTCCATAACTCCTTGCAAATGCCCATTATCCACCCAGCCAGCCAGGCATCTAATTATGTATGGCAACACATGAAATCCATCAAGCCCCGTTAGCATTCTGGTTTAAACTCTTGCCAGCTTCCTGATCCTGTTCTTGACCCATCAGAGAGATGCTTGGGTTCTTATGTTAACAAATATCTTGCCAGTGGTGAAATTAGCGCCTCAGGCTGCAGAACTCAGATGCTGTTGGATTTGGAAGCCTTCCGAGAGCCGCCCCTGACCAGATCAGGCCCCTGCATTCAGCTGGGTCTTTTCCAAGGCT